GGTCTCGCAACGACCCCATTTTCCCCTGATTTCAGACGTCTTCGAAGACTTCTAATCCTGTCCCGCCTCTTCGAGGATCGATCCCGAATTCTGGTGCTCGTAGAGGCACAACGGAAGAAGCTGCAGCAGACGCTGAAAGCCGCTCAGAATCGCGTGCCGAAGAATGCTGATCCGCATGGGTAAGCTTAAGTCCATGCCTAAGCCTAAGCTACGCCTAAGGTAAGCCTAGCTAAGCCGAAGCTAAGCCAACCTAAGCTAAGCCAAAGCTAAGGGTCTTCTGATTCTAAGCCAAAGTAAGCTTATTCGGACCCAATTCGAAGCCGTGCCTAAGTATATCCGGAAGCTGCCTAAGCCCAAGCCGAAGTCAAGCCCAACCCAGGCCCAAGAATTTGCTGAATGTAAGAATGTAAGGCCCTGCCTGTTTCAGCCTGCAAGCTCGCCAAGTGTCCCGCTCCCGGGTCCAAACCCCGCCCATCCAAGCCTTCGAGACCAAGTGGCCGGCGGTCAGGGAGACGTTTGTGGTGGGTTCGCGGCGGCTTACGATACCTTATCCACACTTTAGCCACCAACGTTTGACCCGGCCACCGATACACTGGATACGGCCGTCGAGCGTGGATTTGTGGTTAGTAGGCAATTTTACCAGCATCAGAAAATTTTAGGAAACCGACCCAGAATTCGCGGGACGGCGTCCACGCAGAAAATTCGTAAGTTGAGGTTCTTGTGGTGGAAAAGGCACTTTGTAGCCCCGCAGAGGGGGAGATTCGGTGTCGCCGCTGCTTGCCCGACTCCTGCCTGTACACAACCGAAGGAATATTGATGAGGGGTAGGCTTAGGCTTAGATTTATGCTTAGGCTAGGCTTATGCTTATGCTTATGCGTAGGCTTAGGCTTATGCTTAGGCTTAGGCTTAGGTTTATGCTGAGGCTTAGGCTTATGTTTAGGCACAAACTTAGGTTTAGGACCTTCGGCCCTGTGAATAGAGAAGAGCTAAAGAAATACATTTTTTCCTTCAGCCAAACCAAAATCATCAACCTAAACTGGGACGAACCGCTGAAAAAGCCGATCGCCCCACCTCGTATGGGCCACCCGACCCCACAAGCGCAGCGGACGATGAAGCCGGTATTTCGGTCCATCAAGCACCTATTTTCCGCCAGGCCACTATCACCACAACGACGGCGAAACCATGGCGCGGCGAGTCAAGGGAGAAGTATTCGACTAGTGAGAGTGGTACGGTGTTTTGAGCGGTGATTAGGATTTAATACTGTTTTTCAGGATCCAGTGAAACTCACCTCAGCGCCAGCCGTGAGCTCGACACAAGGAGGTATGGGTTGTGGAATAATAAGCACCGTTTTAATTCCATTTTAGTGCCAAGCCCGACCGTGCCGAGACGCTGGAAATGTGCACGCAGATCGAGTGCGATTTTGAGAAAGGTTTTATTTCCTAGGAATATGTATCGATTTTTCTAGGAGATCTCTGCAAATGGGAGTCATCCTCTGATGAGGTCGAGGGATTTTTGAGGTTTGAGACGCTCTAGCTTTCAATCTCTATCCCTCTCGCTCTCTTTCTCTCACTCTTTCTCTCTCCTCTCTCTCGCTCTCTCTCTCGCTCTCGCTCTCTCTCGCTCTTGCTCTCTCTCTATCTATCTCTCTCTCTAGCTCTCCCTTGCTCTCTTTCTCTCTCTCTCTCTCTCTCTCTCTCTCTCTCTCTAGCTTCTATCCAAATTAACGTTGATTTCCAGACGCCACAAGCGCTCTGGTGACTTTTCGGTCCGTGCCTGGAGTAATGTGGCCGGAAGGCCGGATCGAGCGAAAGCGATGGAGAGGAATGGTAAGCTTTTTACCGTCAGAGAATGATCCTTTTTTCAGCCGTCTTCACGTCGGTGAACACACATTTCGCGGCGGCGTATGTTAACGGAAGTGAGGTGGCCACGCTGACGACACAGGTAAGAAAATAAATCTCATAAAAAAAAACATAAAACATACGAAAATCTCCTAGCTATCGCATCGGATGCCGGTGGTGGTTAGATTTACGGCATGGGAGGCTACTCGAGAGGTAATGTGCATAGAAAAAGACCTAAAAATTAGTGATATCTCTTTTGCTCTGTCTCGCTCGCTCTCTCTCTGTCTCTCCCTCTCTGTCTCTGTCTCTCTCTCTCTATACCGCTACCTTGAGCATTTACTTTCGCCTCGCTTTCTCTAGCTTTTTCTCCCTCTCTCTCACGCTCTCTATCTCTCGCTCTCTCTCTGACTCTTTCCCTCTCTGCTCTCACTCTCCCACTCTCTCTCTCTCTCTCTCTCTCTCTCTCTCTGTCTCTCTCTCTCCTTACCGTACATCTCCAGGTTCGACTCCGCATGTGCTGCGACGACTTCTGCCCGTTCTCCACCGAGGAGGGTGTGAAACGTGGCCACCGTAAGTGGCTGGCCCACACCGTCAAATGCCCCGCAGGCACAAAACAGGTAGAGTAGTCGATTTCACGCCCATTCTACCGTATCCCAGATCACATTCGAGTGCGTGAACACGGGCGAGTGGTCGGGCAGGTGCGGGCTCGACTCGATCTATTTCTCAAACCCGGTGTGCCCGGATTTGTTGCCGTACACCGAGGATGAGGAATAACGATTGAAATTTTGAATTTGTATGTTTTTGCGTTTTTTTTCTGTTTCTCTCTCTCGCTCTCTCTCTCGCTGTCTCTCTTTCATTCTCACTCTCGCTCTCTCTCTCTCTCTCTCTCTCTCTCTCTCCCGACCTACCCGATACCGGTGCTTTCCCCCCGCCCTTTTAGGTGCTGCTATTAATTGGGTGCCGTTTAATAAATGAATGGAATACGGTAGAAAGCTGTAATTTTAGGAATTTAATACACTCGAATTTGCATAAAATTCCGCAAAGTAACGCTGCCAGCTTGCCTGTGTTAAATATCTAAGGCGGATTCCTGTAGGGTAAGATACAGGTACGGTAGCGTACTTTGGACCGTCTGGGTGTATAGGAGCGTACTGTAGTTTGCATTAAAATTACGGACGAGTACAGTTAACGACCGGCTCCGGGAGAGTACTATGCACTACGAAATACACCTAAAATTAATTTAGATCGATTATAATTTAGAAAATTGCCAACCAGAAATTTATGGGTACTTTCGCATTATCGGGGGGGGGGATGAAATTTTTTAAATTCGTAATAACGTAATGCTAGGTGATTTAGTGTTGCTTTTAATAAAATGTAGCTAGATTTAAGGTGGGAAAATTCCTAAACAATTAAAGAATTTGAACTTCCTGTCAAAAATTGGGCATTTTTGGTCGAAAAATCTATATTTAGTTTTTTTAATACAAAATTGTAAATTTTTTCGGTTTGGGAATTTTATTTTCGTACTTTTAATAGTTTGTAGTTTCATTTTTTTGAATAGTTTATTGCGGAAGCCGTGACACACACAAAAATGACAAAATCAATGAAAAAAAATCGGCGTAAAAATTGGTCTCTCACAAATTGTTTGGTACTGTTTGCACATGCAAATGATATACGACTGCGATTTTTGGCAATTTTTGGTCCGAGGCGATGACTCGAAAAAAGAGGACGGGAAATAGACTAGCGATAAACCAAAAGTATCGATTAAATGCGCAAAAATTAAATAAAAATAAAAAATGCAAATCAGCCAAAAAAATGCAAGGGAAAAGCGAAGAAAGGCAAGCCACCGGTATCTTTTTGGGGGGTTTGTGGGGGGGGGGGGGTAGTTTAACAAATTAAACGCTGGGCAAGCGGCTCGAAGCGTGGGCACGAATTTTAGGGCGTAAGCGAATAGGGGAAAATTTTTAAAGGGACTGGGAAGGCGTGGTTATAGGTTTTTTGTTACGGGATTACTAGGCTTAGCTTCGGCGTAGGCTTAGCTTAAGCTTAGGCCTGGCTTAGGCTTAGTTTTAGTCTTAGTCTTAGGCTTAGGCCTAACTTGGTTTAACTTGGCCAAATCCCATAAATCAACAAAAATCAAATCAAAAATCCATGCCTTCTCCGCCCCTTTAAAATACGAGACAATTCCTATGTACATCAGGAGCACCATATCAGCTGGAGAGCACACAAAAAATGATACCACAAAATTAAAAAATGCAAATTAAAATAAGCACAAAAACGTAATAAAAATTGCAAACACTAACCGATGGCGCCCGCGGATCACAGAGGAGACGGTGGCGGTCGGGGCGGGGCAAGAATCTCATATTTTGAGGGGCCGGCATAGCCGAGGGCGCGTTTTAAAGGGGCGTGGAAGGCACAGAGTTCTGGTATTTTTATGGCGTAATCGATTACGCTTTACTGATTTCGGTTAGGTTACGTTTCGAATTCCATAGCCTGAAATAGCCGTAATCACCTCCAAAAAACGGGGTTTTCGTCGCGTAATCGATTCAGGCTGATGAAATTCCTAGCGTAATCGATTCAAAACGTGAACTTCATACCGTAAACCTTTCGAAACACCGGAGTTTCAGAGCGTAAGCGATTCCGAATAAAAATTTTGTAGCTTAATTGAGTCGAAAAACGTGAATTTCATAGCGTAATTGATCCTGAGAGTCAGGATTATGTATTGTAATCGATTAAGCCACGCGAATTTTCTTTTCGAAACGAAAAATACCGTAATCTTTTGAAAAAATGATGTCGTAATCGATCGAGCATATCAAATTACACGCCGTAATCGAGTGCGACGCTCCAATTTCTTATCGTAACCAATTTTAAAATTAGTTTTGAGCTGGAAAAACGCTAAAAACTCTTCAAACCGACTCCTTGGCTGCCGGGCCCCTTTAAAACGCCCAAAAACCAATGTAAAGACACAATTTGCAAAAAGGAGCACCAACAGTTGCGGGGGTTGAAAGCGATGAGCAAACGCGCGAGTTTTTCGTAGAACCACTTAATTTTTCGGGTAAGCACCAAGTAAGGCAAGAATACATTGAAAGAGTGAATAGCGGGGGACTAGGAAGTGTGGGAAAAGCTGACTTTTGAGGGGAGCATGAAGGCCTGATGAGCCCATGCTCAACTCTCCATTGGCTGGGCTTCGACAAGGGCGGCATCATCATCGACCAGTTTTTGTTCCTGCATGAAGGGTTTGCAGTAAGAATATCGATGGCTCATGTGTTGCGAGTAGCTGCCGGAATGGGAGAATCGCTTGTGGCATTTGAGGCACTGAAATGGAGGGAATAAAAAGATCATCTAGGGAAGGGAGAGACAGATAAAGAGAGAGAGAGGGAGCGAGAGAGAGCGAGAGAGGGAGAGAGGGAGCAAGAGAGACCGCGAGGGAAACCAAAGGTTTCCGGTCGAAATGCCGACAGCCGAAACTTTGACACCCCAAATTTCGACATTCTGAAGTCCAAGTTGTCGGGATTTAGTGAGAGAGAGAGAGAGAGTGAGCGAGTGAGAGGGAGCGAGAGATATTAATGACACAGTACGCATTAATGACACAAAATTTACCTCAAACGGCTTCTCCCCCGAATGCAGCCTCTTGTGCTCGGTGAGGTGGTGCTTGTGCTTGAACGCCTTGTCGCACGTGTCGCATTTATAGGGACGCTGGCCTGAAAATATTTGGTAAATAGATATAGTTTTTTGGTTGCCAAACCCTATATATCTTTGGCTAAATGGTAAAGCTCTCGCTTGTCAATCAGAAGGTGCAGGTTCGAGCCCCGGACTGGGCGAATTTTTTTACTTTTTGACCAAGTCTTCGGAATTTATATTTTTAATCCTGCTCCTTTGTTTTGAGCCCAAGATCCACCTCTAGCCCCCCCTGCACTCCAATTAAGATGATGCGCTCCTTGGCCACCCGAAAAATTGTGCAATTGGGTGTGAAAGACGGTGGATGTCTCTGCGTCTCTCTTCTATCCCACTATTTCTTGCCCCTGAAGGTGCAGGTGGTGGAGGGTCTCCACCTCCTCCTCCTCCTCTTCCCCTCCGCTCCGATCCTCCTTCCGATCCGTCCCATTGCGCAATGCCACTCATCCCTTCAAAGGCTGGGGGTCTCAATACACACAACAGACAGACAGACAATTTACCCCCACCCCCAGGCAGGTATCAATTAAAGCGGTGCTAGTGCATTATCGGGGGGGAACAGAAATTTTTTTATAAGTCGAGAAGTTTCTAGTAACGTGGTAGTAAATTTGTAAAAATTGGCTGGTTCAAAATTTTAGCAAAAATTGACTGGAATTGAATTAGAGAAAGTATCTAAAAATTCAAAATTTCAAAGTTTTTGCATTTAGCAATAGCAAAAAATTTACTGGAAAACTAGAGAGCTAACGAAAAAGTCGGTCCATCCTCCCCCCCGCTAATGCCAAAGCACCAAGCTAGCAGGGATTCTTGGGGAAAGTGGACTTGGCTCCTCCTCTGGCCCTTTAATGATGGCCCCCAGGCTATGTTGGGCCCCCCGGCACAACACTTTTTTCGAGTCCCATCCCCCGGTGGTGGCTCTCCCTAAATGGGATGAGGTAGAGGTGAAGGGGGGGGAGGATGGGTCCCCTTATATTGAGGAGCAGATGGGGCCCGCTGATTGATCGAGTGGGGTTGGGCCCAACCAGAATGGTACCGCGAATTAGCTATTCAACGCCTGTCCCCACCTACCTACCGATTCTAGCCATTTTTAAGGGATTGTCAAGGCAAGGGGCAACGTGAAAATCCCGACATTCAAAATCTTGCCATTCATGATACCGACAGGTTAAAATACCAACGAACAAAAACGACAGAAACCGACACGATAGTCAAAGTCCCGAAATTGAAAATGCCGACATCCAAAACCTTGACATTCCAAATACCGACAGAACGAAACTCCGAAAGTCAAAATCCACAGTGCAAAATCCTGGTTTAAAAGGAAGCAGCGCCGAAAATGGCGTTAAAAATAGGGCCGGATCAGATTTGTCGGGATTATGGCTCTCTGGCGGAACTTTCGTTGTCGAGACTATGGCTTGTCGGTATTTTGGCTGTCGGGATTTGGGTCTGATTGTGGACTACGGTTGTTTGGCTTTCGAGATTTCAGACTGTCGGCATCTTGGCTGTCGGGATTCCACCAATCAGTCGGTCCAGATTTTGTTCTGGGGATTTTGGTTGCAACGCGCAAGGCAATCGCCTATTACAAAAAAACTAACCGGAATGTTCGTATTTATGGCGATTGAGTGAGGACTGCTTGCCGAAGACCTTCTCGCAACGATCGCACGCGAATAGGCCCTCGCCCTCCTCGGCGCTGGTCGTTGATCGGGGCTTGTGGGGAGTGGGGGAGCGAGAGGACTCCACGTCTCCTTTCTGAAAACTTGGCTAGGTTTCGTTAAATAGGATGATTTATGGGTCCTTTGAAGGGATCAGAAACCTTGAAGCTCCCACACCGGAAACCTTAAAACTTACATCGAGCACCTTCCTGAGATCGGCAAGTCCCTGCGTGCCCAACAGCGAATATTGGGAGAGGAAAAAGTTGGTGGGCCAGATGCCGGACGACGTCGAGGAGGTCGTGGCGGGGGATGTGGCTGAGGGGGCTGGGGAATGGGCCGCCGACGGGCTCGAGCTGTCCAGCTTAGAGGGCTCGGCTTTGGCTTCCTGGAAATGCGCGGTTTGGAGAGAGAAACCTAAGCCTGGACCTAAGCCTAAACTTAAGCATAAGCCTAAGCCTCAGCCTAAGCCTAAGTCTATTCCTAACCTTAAGCCCAAAAACCAAGCTCACCTCAAGCGCTTTCCGGACCGCATCGGCCTGTTGTTCGAGGAAGGCTTCAAGGGCTGATGGTGGTTGAGTCAAGGACGAGGGTCGCGGCGGGTCTTCGGCGGCTTCATCCTGGGGCTCAACCTCTTCCTCCTCTTCTTCTTTTAGGGATAGATCCAGGGGTGTTTCGGGGCCTTCCGACATTTTCTCATCGTCGCTCATGGCCTCATCCTGAAATACGGGAATTTACGGGGCCAACATACTCTCTCTCTCAATTCTCGACTTCCCAACCCCTTTAATCCCCAACACCTATACCCCGAACTTGACCCCCCGTATCTACCGGGGCCCCCAAATTGGCCCCAGCCTCCCGAATTGGGCCCTCCCCCAGCTGTCAGCTAATTAAGATGGAGGTACTCCTCATTCTCCTCTTTTAAAGACACCAGGGGTATAAGACGGGGGCTCTAATTGGGCCCCTCTCTCTTTCAGATACAAGTGGCCTGGGGGCACAAGATACCTGAGAGTACTCTCTCTCTCTCTCTCTCTCTCTCTCTCTCCGCTCTGCATGCCTATTATCCAATTTGAGGGAGGATGGGCTACCTGCTGCCAAAAAGTGGCCCATAGACCCGAATTATCGGAATTACCCAATAATCACCGGGTATTCGCGGGTGGCAGGGGGTCAAATATATACACCGGCTGCGGGCCATTACCCGAAAAGTGCGCGATAGCTGGGGTGGCAGGGCTTAAAGGGGTTGGCAAGTCAGGTAAGCGGGTTTTTGGCTAAAGATTAATGGTAAAATCAGCTTAAAGGGATGTAAAGAAATTTCTGTGATAAATTTTGACGAGAACTTGAACGAGTTCAGCTCACTCTCTCTTTATCGCTCTCTCTCTCTCTGTCCTTAGCACTCACCCGCTCTCTCCCTCTCTCTCACGCTCTCTCTCACGCTCTATCTCCCTCCATCTCCTACGACTTCAGCGAGTTCGGAACAAACCCCTAATCAGTGTCCAATCTACCGTACCTGCGAGTCCATAGCAACCATCGCGTTCTGCTGCAGCCAGACGGACATCAGCTGGGCGGCCAGCGCCTGCTGACTGCCGGCCAGTTGCGGAACAAGGGGTGACGATTGACCAAAAGGGGAGCTCAACTCCGGCCGAGCCATCTTTCCCCAAACGCCGCTGGGTACTAAAATTTCCTGTTTTTGTTGATCTAGGCTTTCAGGTAGCTTGAGAAACAACTACCCCAACTTCAAGGAGTTCAGCGTCTCCCGAAACCCACCAAAATCCTGCCTTGCCCTCGCCCTGTCGACAAACGTCCGATTGGTGCGCCGCTCCTTGGCCCTCGTATTTTGGAACCACACCTGAAACAAAAGAAAATTACAAAAAAAATTATATAAAATTAATTAATATTAGCGTGCAATTTGATAAAATTTTGAAATAAATTTACATAAATTTTAGCAAAATATTTTTCTGAGATTTTTATTGAATCAGAAATAAACTAAATTTCTAAAAAAATCAAATTAACCCAGTAGCTCCATATTTTCTCATCATGTTAAAATCCCATACCTGTACGACGCGCTTGTTGACGCCGATCTGCATGGCCAACGCCGCCAGGTCGTACTTTGACGGGAACGGGTTGCGCTGGAAGTGGCTCTGCAGGATTGACACCTGAAAAAGCGCGAAATTTGAATTTTCGGAAGGTTTTGGCACCTGAGCATCGGTTAGGAACGATCTCGACCTCATCGGCCGCCATTCGGAGCCTTCCGTTTTCGGTGGGGTCATCAGCCCGAAGATCAATTTGTCTTCCTCTTTTTTCTGAAAAAAAAAACTGGAATTTTTTGAACTCCTTGAAGACGTCGTTTCGATGGTCTGTTAGCGTCTTTTTCCAATAAAAATTTTTTTGGACTCCTTGAAGACGTCGTTTCGATGGTCCGTTAGCGTCTTTTTCCAAAAAAAGTTTTTTGAACTCCTTGAAGACGTCGTTTCGATGGTCTGTTAGCGTCTTTTTCCGAAAAAAACTGTTTTGAACTCCTTGAAGTCGTCTAGATAAACTAGATAGTCTAGCTTGTTGTCTATTAGTGCGCCTATCAGCGCATCGATTGCACTAACGACTTTTTCAAGCAGTTCAATCCACCCACCTCAACAACTTGCTCGCCCAGCCCGAAAAGCTTGGCCAAATCGACCTTGGCGTCCACTTCCGGCTCGATCTTTGGCTCATCAAGTTCAGCTTGTTTAGCCGGGGATTCCAAGGGTTCAACCTATAAACAACAATTTCAGAAACCCATCCAATCTCGCCAGCTAAAAACCTGCTAGCGGGCCTCTTCAAAGCGGCTATCCGGTCTTTAATCGCTCACCTTTTCCTCCTTGACCTCCTTGACGTCGTTGTGCGTCTCCTCCGACTCGGCGGGGCTCGTCTGTGCCGTTTGGGCCTTCAGGCAGGCGGCCAGGAAGTTCTGAGCAATTGGCGAGACGGTGGAGGGGGGCTGAAAAGAGATTGATGAGTGGAAGGTTTTCAAGAATCCCTGCTAGCTGACCTGGTTACAGGTTTCAGAAAGCCGCTAGGAATCACTGATTGTTTGCCTTGGAAAAGCGCTCAAATTCCTAAAGAATTTCTGCTAGTTTGCCTTACCCTAAGTCCCGAAATCCTCAAGAATCTCTGCTAGTATGCCTTACCAAAAAGCCAATGCATCCCAAAGAATCTCTGCCCGTTTGCCCAAGTTCCTAGCATTCCTCAATAATCTCGCAAGTTGCCCTCACCCTCTAGTTCTTCTTCTCAAAAATTGTGTCCCCGCCAATATTTTGTATCACCTTTTCGCGCTGGAGGGGGAGGCACGAAATAGGCTGCTATTTTCCCCCTTGGGCGCCAATCTGTGGCCTTCATTTCCTTGGGGCCCATGGCAAAGGGCCCAGCCAGCACCCCCAAGGTGTGGCCATCATCATCATGATGATGTTCCCCCTGGCCAGGAGGCTGTGAGGGACAGGTCGGAGAGCTCGTTTTCACCTCCCCCTCTCTCTCCTTCTCCAATGCTCCGAATTCTGGCGGTCTCTCGCTTCGTGAATCGTGTTTTCCCTTCGATTGGCCACGGCGGCTGCTGGGGGGAGGCCGCGCACCCCTCCCGTGTGCCCTGCCGTTAATTAGGCGGGCCCTCCCCCCGTGTGGGCCCCATCCTGGGTCCCAACCAGGGCCCACGGATACAAAGGTGTACACCGATGGGGAGGGAGTGTTGGAATTTGAGGATTGGGTCGTAGTTTTTTTAGGTTTTTGGGTTCCATAGGTGACAGTGAGCGGGCGAGAGAGAGAGAAAGAAAGAGAGAAAGAGAGAGAGAAAGCCAGAGAGAGAGAGAGAAAGAGAGAGAGGGAGAGAGAGAGAGAGAGAGAGAGAGAGAGAGAGAGAGAGAGAGGGAGAAGACTAAAAAAGACTGACTAAAGAGAGACTAAAATCAACCGTTCCTTCTTAGGTCAGCTCCCTTGCCGGAACCACCGTTAGCTCTAGCGCAGTCGGTAGAGCAGCCGACTCTCAAGCCAAAGGTCGCAGGTTCGAATCCCAATTCGAATTTTTTTTTGCTTTTTGACCCAAATGCTTCTTATGACTATCCCAACCCACAGTTCATCTACAAATTCGTAACGCGACGCCCGACCCTGTCGATCCGGGTCTCCCCATCTACCCAATGGTGAAAGGGACACACACCCACACCACAATTTCACCATCATTAAGCCAAAGGGCCCCGCGTCGGGGACCCACCCTGCCCCGTAGAGGTAGGGATGGGCGCCCCTGGAATTGTGAAGGTGAAAGGGGAGACCCGGGAGAGGGCCCAGGAAGGGCCCAGAAAGGGCCCAGAAAGGTGGTCGACGACGACGACGACGGTGTGCCATCTAATTGCCACCAACACGAGCCCTATGGCCAGGGGGGACCTGGGTCCCATGCTATATAGGCCACGGGCCCCCTACGCATAAAGGGAGCATTTCATATCGGGGAAATGAGAATATGGGGATGGGGTGTGGGTGTGGGTTGGAATTAGTAGCGTTGCGGAATGAACGGGATTGGAGCATGAGCTAATTAGGTGGAGCTAAGATTTAGCTTGGAATAAGCCTAAGCTGAAGCTTAAGCCTAACCTAAGCCTGATGCTAACCTAAGCCTAAGCCTAACCTAAGCCTGAGTAAGCCAAACCAAAGCCAACATAAGCCTTGGCCCAAGCTTGAGCTTAACCTAAGCCTTAGCCCAAGCCTAAGCTTAACCTAAGCCTAAGCACAAGCCCAAACCTAAGCGAATTCGAAGCCCAAGCCTGAGCTTACGCCTTGCATGTCTGCCAAAATTAACCTTTCCAATCCCTTTAAACCTCAAAAAAACTACGCAAAATAATTTTACGTTTGCAATGGATTCTAAGCGGTCGTAAAGTGGATTATAAGGAAAAAAATTGCGTTCTCCAGGGCGTCAATAGTAAAAATCGGAACAGAAACACCGAATTTCTGAAAATCAAACTTGTTAGTCCCTTTAAACCCTCAAAATCCCCAGTAACCCACCGTGGGGTGTTGAAACAGTGACAAGTACGGATTCGCGCCGGCCGTCATCATTTGCTGGGCCTGGAGTTGCAGCAAAAAATTGCGGTATACGGTGAGTTGATCGGAGGCGCCGAATAGGCCACCACCGCTGCCCGGGCTCGCCGATTGGGGCACCATCGTTGGAAGACCTTAAAAATAGAACTTTCAAGGTATTTTAAAGGGATGGTGACATCGTACAGTCTCGTAGTCATCAAGCCTCACCTTGTTTTAGCGAGGGGCTGCCATTTCCGGGCGTGCACTTCTTGCTGCTCATATGCGAGGAGTAGGAGCCGGAGTGGGAGAACCGCTTTTGGCATGCGGGACACTGGAAAAAAAGTGAATTTTTGGCTTCCCGGTGTCTTTAAAATGGCCCGAACTCCAAAACAAGCAAAAATTTCAAATTTTTCGATTTGCGCTATTCGCCTAGGCGCTGTGGGACCCAAAAACAGTTTGATGTGTTTTTTCTGTTACGCTTGGCATTTTCTAAGATTTTAAGCGCCTTGACAACCTTCAAAAAAATTTCGGCTCTGGATTCGGCCTTCTAATGACCTTTGAAATTAGGTTTTTCGACCCGGGAGGGCAGCTACCGTAACCCCCCCCCCCTTCCCGCACCCCCAGGTAACCAAGGTAACCCCGCTGGGCAAATAGCCCGGCTGGCGACTATCGCCAAGGGGGACTTTCCGCGGCTACGGAAGGGCTACCGCCCTACCGTAGCCGCGGAAAGTCGCGGAATAAACGAAGATTTGAAAACTGGCCGAAGCATACCTATGCCTAAGCCCTGCCGAAGCCCAAGCCCAGGCGAAGCCTAAGCCTAACTCCCAAACCTCCCTCACCTCAAACGGCTTCTCCCCCTGAATGGATCCGAATGTGCTCCTTGAGGTGGTGCTTGAACTTGAACGCCTTCCCGCACTCGTCGCATTTGAATTTTCGCAGCAGATCGTCGTCTACCTGAATAGATTTGTGATGAATTAAATACGATTAAGAAAATTGGTACCTTGATGCGATCTGCTAGCGGGGACGAGCTGGCGGCGTTCTCGAAGAGGCCCAGCATCTTTGGGGGTTGGCTGGGGCCGGGGAGGCTGGAAAATCGGGTTGTAAACAGGTGTCAACGGAACGAAAAAAACAGGCAGAAAGGAAAAACACAAAACATGGCCCAAAAATTGTGGAAAACGCCCAAAAAATGGCAGAAAACCATCGGAAATGGCCATGGAGCTAACTAGCAGAGACAATTGGGGGAAGCCATGCAGACCAAGAAAAATAGGTAAAAGGTACGCTAGCAGAGGCCATGGTTGAAATTTTGGAAATCCTCGCAAAACCCCCCGCGTGGGCAGCTAGCAGAGGTCTTTTAGGAAATGAAAACACCCAAAAAACGTAATTTTTTCGTTTAAAGGAACGTTGAAGATAGGCTTGGCAATCCTAGACAATCGCCGAAAGGCAGGCTAGCGGCGAGAAATGGGGAAATTATGCAAGATCCTGAAAAATGACGGTTCGGCTAGCTAGCCGAGATCCTTTAGGAAATTATTTCAAAAGGACTCTTGAAGTAACATACCAATGAAAATACAGGTAAAAAGGCGACCTAGCAGTGACAATTTGCAGAAATAGAGATAACCAGGAAGATGGCAAACTAGCAAAAATCGTTGAGGACATGGTGGCCCTGACAAGGATGAGACTGGCAGGACGAAATGAGCCCTAGGGGCAGAAGATACCTGCCGGTCAGGACGGGGGGCGGGGCCAACCAGGGGGGGTGGGCATCACGACGGAAATTGGGTCGTCCTTTCTGGGGCTACGGGAGACAACCGTATACGGGGGGAGGAGAGGGCCCTCCCACCTGGGCCCCCCTAGATCAGGTCGGGTTTCACCGTCTCAGGGGGATGGGCCCAGTCTCTCGTTAGTATGGGGGGGAGGAGGCCGCTAAAGGGGAAAAGCCGGATTTGGGCATGGGGATGTTTGGGTCTTACAGGGAATGCTTAAAATTTAGAAAAGAGGGAGAAAGAAAGAGAGAGAGAGAGAGCGAGAGAGAGAGAGTGCTCAAAGAAAAGAGACAGAGAGCTCGAGAGCGAGAGAGACGGATAGAGAGAGAGAAAAACACGCTGAAATACAGTTTCGCTCTAAAATGATACCGTCAAAAGGTATTGATCGGAATCTACCGTTTCCCCTGAGCTTCTCAGTCCCTTAAAATCACCTCCTCCAGCAAAACGCACAGCTTTTTCCGTAGATGCTTTAGAGCGGTGAAATGGCCTGTCACAGGTGGGCTTCGTCCACGGCCTCCCCAGCCCTCTACACGTGTTTTCAATCGGTGGCCACGGATCGGCCACATGTTAGCACACCTTTACACCTTTTGGCCCGTGACGCGCAAAGGGCGCACACCGGGGGCGCAAGGTATACGGAAATAGAGATTCGGATTTTTATGTGAGCTTCATTTTTGTCTCTTTTTGGAGCTGGAGAATGGGCCTGAGAATGAGCTCGAGCACGATTATGAGCCTGAGCATGAGTTTGAGATTGAGAGTTTGTTGTCTTTGCTAGCATGCTGATGCCCAGTTAGGGAGAGAGGCAGAGAGAGGGGTAGAGAGAGGGTGAGTGAGCGAGAGAGACAGTGTGAGAGAGAGAGAGAGAGAGAGAGAGAGAGGAGCGAGTGCGAGAGGGCGAGATGGCGAGACAGAGTGAGAGAGAGTGAAACCGAGTGAGAGAGCGAGGGAGTTAGAGAGAGAGATTCCGAGGGCGCTAGAGTGAGAAAGATAGATTTAGAATCAGCGCCAAAACGTCCCTTTCTAGCTATTACTTCTTAAACCCAATCATCCGGTGTCGCGGAATCAGGAGGGTTGCGTAGCGTATCGTTGCGTAGCCATTACCGTAACCCCTATCCCGCATAAGCTGAATGCTAGAGGGAACTGGTCAGCAGCTGATGATATGCCACCGGGAGAGCTCCCGATCGGGATCGCGTAACATAACCCGTTCCCCCTCGATACAACGACGGGCTCCTATCGACAGCAGGATGATGAGGGGAACTAGTTCAGTGCTGGAATCAAGAAGGTATCATGCTGTTCAGCAAGAGTGGTTAGGTCGGGTTTCATCGAAAAATCGGCAAAATCGGACAAAAATACACCGCATCGCCGCAAGCCTGCCCTCCCTAATTCCTCAAAGATCTTTGCTAGCCTGCTTCAGTAATTTCCAAAATATGCGAGCCTTCCTTCCGTGATTCCCGAAGAATTTCTGCTATCTGCCCACCAATTCCTCAAAAATCTTTGCTAGAATGCCCTCGACTCCTCCTGTTGATTATATCCTAATCCCCAAAAACCGCTAGCCTACCCCTGCTAATTCCTCAAAAATTCTGCTAGCTTGCCCTTACAATTCCACAAGGAAACTCTGCTAGCCTGCCTACGCGCCATCAAGAATCTATGCTAGCCTGCCCCAAAAACCCAAAAACGCTCGTTCCCCTAAAAAAATGTTCACCGGGCCCCCCGGTTAAGAGAAAAGCGGGCTGATCACTCACCTGAAAAACGCGCGATACCTGACACCCAGCGGATCGCGCGGGGAAAACCCGTAAAAGAGCAAAAAGAGGGACACACGACGGGGAAGTGGCTGGGGAGTATCAATTCGGAAAAAAACTGGCGAGGGGACGGCTGGGGGGACAGATAGATCAAGGCCTAATTAATCCACAATCACAGCCCCAACTATCGACGGGGTGAAAAAGGTAAATGCGGGGTGTTCGCTAGAGTTTAAAGTACTCAAGAAGATCGAAAATTTAAGAAAAATCGCAAAATTCTGTCTAGAATCGTGTCGGACAGATCTGAAAAAAATTCTCTACCGTATTCGCGCAAATTTTTGCCTTATACGGCCGTTAGAAAACAGAAAGAGCGAGAGATAGATGGAGAGAGACAGAGAGAGCGAGAGAGACATGAAGAGGGGGAGAGAGGGACAGAGAGTGAGAGAGAGAAAGAGAGGGTGGTATCAAGAGGGTGTGAGCATGAGAGAGTGATCGAACTCAAGCTCCAAACCTCTAAAAACAATCCTCTACGCGTTCGTTATGCGATCCCGGTGAGCCCGGGTGGAGCCCAGGTGAGGCAGTTCGGGCAGGTTCTCCACCCCCTACCCGAGCGAGAGAATGGAGAGCGGCGTGAGACAGCGAGAGATAATGGCGGATTGTCCGGAAAGGGCGATCATCTTGCCCTGCTAAATGGGGGGAGGAAATCGTGATAATCAGCCCGTAAACGGGATCCGAACCCCCGGGGGAGGAGAGAGGAGGAGGAGGAGGAGCAGTCCCGGTGGAGGTGGAGAAGCCCGTTCCGAAAAAGTGACTGTTTTGAGGTGGACAGAGGATCGGAGGAGCAAAATTTTGATATGTGAGCGTAAGCGTAATGCTAAGCCAAAGCCTACGCCCAAACGAAGCCTAAGCCTACACCGAAGCTAAGCGTAAGCCTAAGCCTAAACCTGCGCCTACGCCGAAGCCCCAGTCTAAATCTAAGCCTAAGCCTAAGCAGATGCTTCAACAGAAGGCTGAACAAGCGAAAGCTAGCAGAAGAAAAATCCATAAAACTACAAATGACGCTGGAAGCCATGAACAGTCGAAATTTTGCGATATATGGATTTGTGGTGGTGTGGCGATGACAGACGGTGTGTTGGGGGTGGGTCGGTGGGTTGAGAAGGAGGTTGAGAAGAAGAAGGAGGAGGATCGTGGAGGGCCATCTGTCACTAGGTACCAACACCGGGAGAAGAAGGGCCCGAAAATGGGGGAGGAGCCACCGGGCCCCGCCCCATCCAATCCAATCCAATCCAATCCACACCCCCCTCAAGGGGGAAAGTCTCAAATCTTGGGGTATCGGTAACGGGGGGAGTTTGTGATAAGGGGATGTTTTAAAGGGGCCGGCAAGCCATGGCGTTGCTATGGATTTTCTATTTTTACTGTGCAGCATATCAGGCTCGCAATACGCAACGCGGCTAGGTCGCGCCAAATCATCTGCGTCTCTCCATGACTCTCTCACATTCTCTCTCTTTCTCTCTCTCACACTCTCTCTCTCTCTCTCTTTCTCTGTCTCTCTCGCTCTCTCGATTTACCTAGCTCTCTAACGTGGCATCCTTGCATGCAGCGTTGCGGGTCGCATCGCGCGTCGCGTTCTGTCCTGCGTTGCGTGTCGCGCTGCCTGTCGCGTCACGTATCGCGGGGTGTCTCGCGCTACCCGCCGTGTTGCGCGTCGCAAATATTTTTTTGCATGGAAATGACTCGAGAAAAATTGCTTTCGGCAGGCTAGCAGAGATTATTTGGGAACGTTTTTAAAGAGTAGCAAATTACCGCGACTGGCTGTGATTTTGAACGAAAACCAAGCAGGCTAGCAGAGATCCTAGGGGTTGCTCTCTAAAGGGATTTGACAGGGAAAATTCTAGAATTGATGGAAGCGGAACAAATCCATGATGATCGCCACAAAAAATCCACATGCAACGGCAATTTACCCAGGTTTTCTCGAGGTTTTGCCTTCCAAGTCCCTTTAAAAATACAGGAACGAATTCCCCTTTCCAATCGCCTTAAGTAACCTATTTCGCTAAATCCCGGGTTCTGAACCCCCTAATCTATGCAATGAGTCCAGGTGAAATTGCGGGGGGGGGGGGGGGAAGAGATGGGCACACCGGCCTGTCAACGGAATGGGGCCAATCGGCCGGTCAATCGGGTTTTTTTCTCTGTGCCAGTCAGTCAGTATCTGTCCACTACACTACTATCTGCCGCCTCTTTCCCTCGCTCTCTCTCTCTCCCTCTCCCTCATCTCTCCTATGGGATGCGCCAAATGGCGCGCGAGCCAGGTGCCCCGAGACCCATTTAGCCCATAAAAAGGCCAGGAGGGCACATGCAAATCGCGGCAAAGCGATGGGGGCGAACCGCTTAAAAAGGGTATTTATAAATCCTCCCGTCTAAAATTGTAATACCAAAGGTATCGTAGCGTATCGTGGCGTACTTTAGTCTAGTGTTGCGTAGTAGCTTAACGTAGCATAACGTATGGAAGCCCGCTCTTGTCCAGCTTAGGAAACCGTATGATATCACCGTGCCGTAGCATTACGTACCGT